TTGCAAGTAGTTGCTTAGCAGATGAAAGCTTCTGATCAAGAGTCCGAAATACCTAGTTTGAATTCCAGTTCCCTTGTACTTGCAAAGTTACTTTACCTTTCTGAGCTGTGTTTTCATTTCTGTACAATGGGGTTAGTACTCATATTTGCTTCCCAGGATTTTTTGGAGAGAAGTGAGGAATAAATAATATTCATGAAAGCACCTAGCATAGTACTTGGCACGTGGTAGGTTAGTGGGCTCTGAGTTTTATCATCATTATTGGTTGTCCTGTTACCTTTATCTTTGAGTCCTTTCTGTGGGACTTTCCTACTTCTTATGCTGCAATTGCTATTCATTTGTTTATTTTTTGAGTGGTCATAGGCCAAGAAAGGGAGGGCACAAATGAGGAAGGGGTTGATATAATCCTTCAGAGCCCTCAACATACCACCAAAAGACCCTCTTGTTCCCACTTACTCAACTAGTCATATTTTGACCTAGGGCCAGGTGGGGTAGGGATCCGACATTATTATCCCCATTTTACAGGAGAAGAAGGGAAGGTTTGGAGCACATAAGTGCCTCCCACGGGGTCATTCAGTTAAGCATGGACCGCACAGGGATTTGAATCTAGGAACTTTCCAAAGCCAAAGGCTTCATTTTCCCTCATTCTCCACCCTTCCCACCTCCAAGCCAGAGTAGGTGACTCTGCATTTTGTACCATGTGACTTTAAAATAGAACCACGTGTTCAGAGCTCTGGTTAGGTCCTTCCTGTGTTCTCTAGAACACACTGCAACACCACCTGCAACCTTTCATCATGCAGGTTTCTGACTGGCACGCTGGTAGGCCTCTGGCTTCAGCAATACCACTACAAAGGTCTCCTGCTTTTCATAAACAGATTGCTGCAAGGCCTGCTTCTCAAGAAAGCAACCTGTGCTACCTCCTGTGTGCTTTTATGCTCCTCTGTGAAGTGCAAAGTCGGGCTGGCAGGCCTCACTTTCTTCTCTGCTTTATGTATGATTCATCAAGAGAACTCCGGCCTCGGAGTGTGCCATGCAATGTGGGGTGTGCTCCCGAGTGTGTCAGGCAGGGCTTGGACCTGTTTTCCTTCCCACTCACATGTAGGTCACCTGTGGGAGCAGGGGAGGAACCATCCTGAGGGTTTTTCTTTTTTGTTAATTCAGATTTTTCATTGCCGAGAACAGTTCTATGCCACATGTCCTTTTAGTAGTTTGACCACTTGAGAGAACCCAAAGAGACAACCCCCAGACCACTTGACAGCCAGCTGTGGGGTCGTACACTATACTCTACCATATCAATGAGCACTCCTGAGCCCAGAGAATGTGCAGGTTGGAGGTGTAGCATATTCCTCTGCACCAAAGACCTTTTTTTTTTTTTTTACATTTGGAAGAAAAATTTCTACCATTAGAGATTCACTTTTCTGAGTCTTTGAGAACTTTAAAATACAAGTGTCCAGGGGAATAGGAACGCCATGAATAGTTGTCAGCTAAGGACAGGCGGTGAGTTTAGTATGTGACAAGTATCTTGTTACAAATGGATGTTGAAATACCCAAGTTTGGAAATGATGTGCTTCTGCTTTTATTTTTAAGTCATCTTTATAATGTCCCTTTCACTTATTCCCTCATTCATGCACCAAAAATGCTCTTTGATTGGGGAAGCAAGGGGAGGTATTAAAAGTTCTAGGGACTTAAAATTGACAGATCTCGCCCATGAACATCGTCCAAAAGGAATAAGGCTGAAGGCCAGTGGTTTAGAAGCTCAGTACTAGCTAGACTGGAGTGTGTGTGTGTGTGTGTGTGTGTGTGTGTGTGTGTGTGTGTGTGTGTACGGGATGGACATAAGTGCTGAATTTGTGGAAAAGGAGGAGGGGAAGGAGCTCCGAGCAGGAAAGTGCACATAAAGAAACTAAGACTCACACAGTGTCTACAGCTTAGCAGCCTCAGTGCGGCGATTCCATTTGAAATTCCTCATGCAATCCCAACAGCACCCCTACAGTACATATTTCCCCACCTTGCCCAATGTCACTCTACTAGTAGTCGGATTTCAAATCTTAATGTGTCTGAGGCCAAAAATACATTAACCTCTTCCCACTCAACATCTGCAGTCAAATGCTGTCTGACTCAAGATTTGCCGGGTCTGGCTCTGGGCTATCAGAATTAGATGTATGAGACCCTTTCCTTCTAAGCCTCAAGTGTTTTGTCTGCTGGATGGATGCCTAGCTGTCCCTTTAACCCATCGGCCACTGCCTTAGATCCTGATTAGGGGACCTCTGTGATAGCTCATCTGGGAGGCATGGAGGGGTTCTAATGCGCTTTCCTTTGGTGGATGACAAGGGAGGGAGACTTGCTTAAATTCGGGTTAGCATTGTGAAACGTGCAGAATTCGAGTCACACAAGGGTGGTCCCTATCCTGGCCAGGCAAGTCATTCATCCTCTCTAAGCCTCAATATCTTCATCTACAAAATGAGGATGTTAACAGTCTCTTGCTCACAGAGTTATTGGAAGGATTAAGTGCTGCAAATGCTCATACAGCACCCACACAGGGACTAACAGGGCAAGTGCTTAGGTCTTAGCACCTTCAACATCATCCACATCATCATCATGCCATTAACCTCGTCATCCTCCTCCTCATTGTCATCATGAAAAACACTGGATATCAGTGTGCCCTTGACCTGGATGTCCACGTTGGAAGAACAGTGAGTGGATGGCATGCACAAAACCTAGAAGTTGGCGTTTCCATGTAGACTTCATTAGTGGCCACATTAGGGGGAAAAGATGCTTTGGAAACTAGGACACAAAGGAAAGCACCTCATATTGTACAGAGTACAGAGAGGTTACTGTGGAAATACAGAGGAAACCCCAGCCTAATTGCCTTGATAATACAATTCCGTAACTCATTCTGCCAACACGAAGGTGGACGGATGGTCCCCATCCTTGCTGCTGAGCACTGCCCGTGTTTTCCTCGGAGAGACATCTGCACTCTAGTAGTGATTAAAATGCCTTGGACAGTCTCTTGCTATTAAGACTTTGTAGCTTCAGTTAATAAAAGGTAGTATATTAAAATGGAAACCATGCCATTATTGATAAGGACTAGACATGTTATAGACCAGATTAAAGCTTTGATAATACAAAATGCAAGGTGACAGTGCTGAGGGTTATTGAATACCTACTATGTGTCAGTTGCTCTGCTAAACTCCTTAGAGGCATCATAGCAAAATACCCCTGCCTTTGTATAAACCATGTCTGGCCTCTCTGATATATTAATATATTTAATCATCAGACTTTGCATGTTAAAGAAGATTACAATAGAGGCATGCAGTTGATTGGGGAATAGTTGCTGCAAATGATAAGCTCTTTTGAATAAACCGATACTGACTTAATGAGGTTTTGCTATGTATTATTATTTTTTTTTCCTGATAGAAAATGGAGTAGCTGCCCTCCCCACCCACCATTCTCAGTCCCTTTGCTTCCTAGTAAGGACCCTCTTTTCTCTTGCTCCATGGGAACTTTTAAAATTTACAATTAATGGATTTTTAGGTTCCAGTTTCTGGAATTCTAAGAGGGCCTAGAAGGTAAGTGCTCAATTACTGAAGTGTGTAAATAAAAATAGGCAGCTTAGCTAGGAAAGTAAAAATGGAGTGGTGTCTCCCCACCCACCTGAAGTTGTGCTTCTGTTTCTGGAAGAGGATCAAGAGGTATCCAACCTGCATTTAATCAGATAACTCCTTTATGGTGCAGACTTGAGGGGGATTGTTTAAAGACCAGTGGTTAAGGGCTTAGTTTCCTAGCTAAACTGCCTATTTTTGTTCACACACTTCAGTAATTGAGCACTTACCTCCCAGACCCTCTTAGAATTCCATAAACTGGAGGCTAAAAATCCATTAATTATAAATTTTAAAAGTTCCCATGGAGTGAGAGAAAAGAAGGGCCATTCCTAGGAAGAGGTGGGTTCAGGAGTCTGTGTTCCTTCCTGTAGACCCCTCAATCTGGTTGCCTTCTCACTCCCTGTCCTTCCCCCTTCCTGCTCTGTCCCTCTTTCCTTCCCTGCTAGGATTCCTCCACCACCATTTATTCCTATGCAAGAGGCTGTGAAAGGCCCAGGTCAGCCTGTTGGCCTTGGGCTCTGATAAGATCTGTCTGTGTTCCCTTTGTATGGCCTATACCTGCCTTTGCTGAATGGCCCTGTTAATTGCAATTGACTCTCACAGAATGTGGATAGCCATGCCACTTGACACCAGACTAATGCTTCTGACTTTTCCAGGTGCCCCTGGCAGCAGGCTGGAGGGGCCATGGGAGGGGTCAAAGGAAGATAGAGCTTCTGATTCCAATCAGATACATTAGAGCATCAGAGCCTTTTCTATTCCTCAGGGTCCGTGCTCTTGCTCACTCTCTTGCACTCCCTCCCTCTCTGGGTTGGGAGGGGTATTGTCATTTCTAGGAATTCACAGTAAAATCAGAAATAATTAGGAGATTTCATAGCTATATCTCCTGTGAACATTCAGGAATTTTTTTTCCCCTTCCCTTTCCAAGCTTTAGTCCTAAGCATGGGAAGAGGAACTTGAAAGAAAACCTGAGAAATATGAGTCTAACACAAGAGAATCAGTACCTCTGGGGAGCTGGTAGTGGGATCTCAATTTTCTACAGCCCTGCTGGTGGTCAGGTCTGCTTTCCTTTATAGTCCTTTAGCAGTTCTATGGGGGAGGGGTAGAAAACCCACTTTAGAGGTAGGAAAATTGAGGCCGAAAGACCAGCCTGCTGCCCAATGCATGATCATTATTGTTCTTTTTGGGCAGGGTGGAAACTTAGAACTAAGAACTTAGAACCTTAGAACTAAGAACTGAACCTGTTCAGTGTGGAAGCCTTAAATCTCAGGCTGTGCAAAGTGCTTCTACAAATGCCGAGTCAGGCCTTGGTGTCAGTGAGACATGGGCAGGGAAGCACCCCAAACTGGCCCTTAACAGGGGACAGATGCTGGCCTCCAGCATTCCTATACATTACCTCATGAGAACTCAGCACACCTGAGAGGTCAGAATTATTCTCCCGTTTCACATATAAAACGACTGAAGTGCACAGAATGAAAGTAAAAGTGTTCACGGTAATATAGGCGGATTATTACTGAACTGGGAGTAAACCCAGGGTGGCTTTCAGGGGACCTGGCAAGGGGTGGGATGGGGAGACGCCAGGGGCACAGGTTGGCTGGTCTGTGTGAGGGTGAGATCTACTGGCAAGGGTGGAGTGGGGATCTGATGTCAACTGGGGATGGATCAGGAGGCAAGCATTTTGGGGCCGCCGTTGGTTTCCCTTTTAAATCCCACATAGTGCTGGGACAGCTTCATGGCCTACGCCCACCCAGACAGGAAGGTGACACAACAAAGCCAGCATACAAAGCTGGTTGATTTTCATTTAGATGAGAGATTCAAAACAGAAATACAGTATTAAGTACTGAGAAAAAAAAATGATCTTAAGGATTCTAAGGAGGCAGGTAGAGGGTATCTCTGAAGTTGCACATGTGTGAGCTTCAGGTAACAGTGTTTTTTGGCACCTATGGGGATTTCTAACAAAATGAGTTAACATCATTTGAGGAATATTTCACTTAAAAGTCCAGATTTCTGACTTCCCTTGAAAGTCTGGAGCGCCACCCATGTCACCTGCTCTGAGCTAGAATCCTGGCATTCAGAATTGGCAGGAAGACAGGATCTAGGCTGAGGCTTCCCATTTAGATGTGGTGTGGGCTCCCCAGTTTCTACATCCCTCACCTCTCCTGTTTCCACAGTTGATGTCACCCGGTGTCTCTAGTGTGATGAAGAACTTTAGATCAGAAAGAACCAGCAGCTGCATTAGGATAAAGATGGAACCACCGAACTTCCCCACAACACACACACACACATCGGTGTGTTAGGGTGAAATATGCCAGGGAATGTCAAGTGCTTTAGTAATTGCTCAGAAAATCATAAAAGCAATTGTTTAATTTGTTAACTCTCCCCACTTCCTTCAGGGTTAAAAGGATGAAAACCATGAAGCCCAGGGTGTTTGGGGGAGAGAGGGAAGGAGGCAGGCTGCATTTGGGAACAGGTGCCTTCTCCAAAAGACATTCCTTTCCTTGGATTTCAGAATGACCCTCATTGAGAACAAAGCCTTTCACTCCAGGTCCAAGTCCCCACCCCACCCCCAGTTGTTTTTGTTTTTTTCCTCTATAGGAAAAGGCAGAGGAGCCCCAAACCCAAGCCAGAAACACATGCAAATATGACGATAGGACCATCCTGGGTAGAAAAAGGCTCCTTTTTAATTAGAAGCCTGGAAGGACATACCCTTTAATTGCTGCACTTGTAGTGTCAGGGCTATCAATATCCGTGCCTCTTTCATTAATAAACTGGCAAGTCAGAAAGCGGCAGGAACGGGAGCCCCTCCCCGCTGCCACCCCAAGCTCTACTTAATCAACTGCAGACTCAATCAAATGGGGGAAAAGAACATGTAAATCAGCTGCATTCCTTCTGCTGGCCCTAAATAGGTAGAAGGAAGGGAAACATGAAAGGGAGCCTCCATCGCTTTCCCTGATGTTGCCAGGCTCACGGTGAACCCAAGCAAGAGGTAGTTAAACGGCCCTGCAGATTGTGAGCGACTCTGGGAATGCCTAGGTTTATGTATGGATTAACACAGTGATAGACCCTGAGTAGCAAAAGACGAAGACTAATTACCTGACAGAGCTCCCCTCCACTCGCCTGGGTCATTGAAATTAATTTCTGCTTTCAGGCTTGGCAGAAAGCAGCTGCAGAATTTCAGTTCAATACTCAAATTAACGGGGAGCTGAAATTATTTCTCTGCACAGGCGGCATTAGAGGAGTGGGTTACCAAATAGATCTTGATCGCAGACACCAAAGAAAGGATTATTCCTCCCTTTCATCAAGAGCCTTAAGTCCTTGGAAAATGCAAAGGAGGGAAAAAGAAGAAAAACAGCCATCAATTTATGGGAGAGTTAACACTTAAATGCTATACTAAATTGGGCGTGACATACCCGTGTAGGAGACTTCTTCCCGACCCCCCCCCAAATAATTGACAGTTTCTCTCCATTTAACAAAATAAAAATTAAATTCAATATATGGCCCTTTTATATATCCCTGAATTGGAATTCCTAATCTAGAGATAATTTATGAATATCTATTCTACAGCATCTCATGTTGTCAAGAAGGTATTGACCTATTTCAAGGTTAAGGGAATGGGGGGGGAGGAGGGAAAAGGTGTAGGGAGAGAGAGGGAAGGGACTGGGAGTCAGAGTTAGGATTTGAAGCCAGGGCCTCTGTCTCCAAGTTCATCTTTCTGTTCTTTCATGTCAACTTCTGTTCTCTTTGGGCTCCCTGCTTTCATTTCAGCCTCAGTGGAACCTGTTGACTGTACTGAACACCATATGTGTACAGCAGGTCAAATTCAATGCTGTCTAGACCCACAGTTCTCACTTCATTTGTTTCTGTGATTTTCTCACCACCAGAATGCATCTGCTAGATGAGGTTTGTAAGCACGCTAAGTCCCCACGTTTTTGTCGTGGCCTGCTGCCAACTGAGACAGCCACCATTGCATTTCCCACCTTGACCTCTTTGGTATTTCTTTGGTTTCTGCTGAGGTTGGGGGTCCACACCAAGATGCATCTGTGGGGAGTCCTGGGCATGAGGCACACTCATGCCAGATGCAGGGAAGACATCTCTCTTTCCTAACTTTGGGAAATACATTAGTAGTTAACCAAATTCTGGAATCTGACCGTCTGGGTTCAAATTGTCGTACTCAACCTGCTAGGTGTAAAACCCTGGGACTATGGGACTATTACTCTTATGATAGTAAGAAGACCTACTTCATAGTCCTGTGTAGAGATGAAACACTTAAAACTGCGCCTGGCATAGTGTAAGTGCTACTGTTGTCCCTGCTACTATTAACCCAAACTAGATAACCCAAGATATGGTCCTCTTTGTTGTTATCTCAAGTGGCATAAAAGTTCTGTGCAACTGTCCAGACCTAAGAGGATCCAGCAGTACTGGAACTTTGTCATATTCATAGCACTTCTTGCCCTATTAATGCCTAAGAAGTCAAAAGAAGTCATGTGTTCTTAGGGGTAAAAGAAAAAAAAAAAAAACCACACCAGTAGTTATCATTTATCAAATACCATATGCCAAGCATACTCATATTTATCTAAAGAAAAAAAATAAACATTGATAAAGTTTTATAAATTATGAAACTGAAACTGTAGCTTTAGGAGGCTCTATGACTAGCAAAAGTATCCCACAGCTAGGGCCGGGGCAGTGCTGGGACTCGAACCCCTGCCTCTGTGTCTTCAAGCCCACAATGTGTGCCGCCGAGTCACCCATGAGTAGCAATTAGGCCCCTTCTAACATGTCCAGCTTTAAACCTGTGACCTCAAGGCAAATGACTTCCACATCTCATTACCACTCCCCAGAGCCATCCAGCCCCTGGTAGGATAGGGAGGTTAATCAGCCACGCACTGAATCTGCTTAGAAGGCTGTTTCATGTACGATTTTTATATCTTGGCTCCTAATAATGGTCCCATTATAAATGATTGTCTCACTGTGATATACCGGTTCCATGCCTTCTAGGAACTGATTTAAAAGGAAGCCTTGGACTTCTCATGTGCCCATAGAGTTTATTCATATTGCTTTTTGCTTGCTCAGCAGCTAAAGTGATATGGGGAGACAGCCCCCCTCCAAAAAATATTTTTTTCCCAGCATGGGGCAGTTGCCATAATTAGTAACCTCCAGCTCACTTAATGCCATGATGATACTTTATGAAACAAAAAATTGCTGCTCCTTCCTCTCTCTTCCACTCCCTGAACTTCTGATCAGACAGGTAATGCCATGGACAAATGCTCACCCCAGGTGTGTCACCCTCCTCCTCTATGCAACCAAACTATTTTAATTATTTCTAGGATGACTTAAGAGAGCTGGTCATAGGAGATATATAGCATCAGGGATTGTATTTTCAAAACAAAACCTAGGCATGTTTATCCAACAAATATTTATTTAATGCCTACTATGGGTCTGGACCATAGATATACTGCTAGATACAGCAGGGCAGAATATATGAAAATAGGGCACATCCAGGAAATGTGGAATGCATGTTAGGAATACGGTTAGGAATTACTAAGGAAAAATGCCCTTTGTAGAATTCTGTGTTAGTTATTATTAATATCCAGTTGAGCTTTGGTCCTATCCTCAATGAGTTTAAAACCAAAGAAATCTTCACAGAGTGCTTTGTTTTCTCCAAAGTTGGGTTGCATTGAATATTTAAAGTTCTTTAAATTCTTCTCTAAACCTCAAGGCTAAGCAGTATACCTTCTAGCTACAGTGATCTACTTGCTGTTCTCAGAACATGTCAAGCTCTTTCCTATCCCAAGGTTTTCTAAATATAAGTTCCTCTCCTGCCATGGTTTTCTTCCCTCCCTTGGTCTGGCTAGGGCTGTCTTCTCCCTTAGAATTCAGTATGAATGCTGCCACTTTCAAGACCATCTGTATCAGTTTCCTATGCTGCTGTAACAAATGGCCACACATTGGTGGCTTAAACAATATGAATATATTCTCTTACTATTTTGGAGGTCAAAAGTCCAAAATGGTTCTGTCTTAGTCTTTTTGTGTTGCTATAAGGGAATACCTGAAGCTGGTTAATTTATAAAGAAAAAAGGTTTATTTAGCTCACAGTTCTGCAGGCTGTATAAGCAGCAAGGCACCAACATTTGTTCCCAGTGAACCCCTCAGGCTGTTTGCACTCATGGTGGAAGAGAAAGGGGAGCAGGTGTGTACAGAGATCACATGGCAATAGAGGAAGCATACAGAACGGGGAGGTGCCAGGTCCTTCTTAACAACCAGGGAACTGAGTGAGAACTCTCTCACCCCTACCCCCCAGGGAGGGCATTAATCTACTCATGGGGAATCCCCCCTCATGACCCAAACACCTCCCATTAGGACTCACCTCTACCACTGAGGATCAAATTCCAACATGAGTGGAGGGGAAAAACATCCAAATTATAGCAGGGTCTCACTGGGCTATAACCAAGGTGTTGGCAGGAGTGGGCTCCTATATACTCTAGAGGAGAATCTGTTTCCCCAACTTTTCCATTTTCTAGAGGCCACCTGTGTTCCTTGGCCTGTGGTCCCATCTTCTGTCTTTAAAGCCAGCACTGTAGCATCTTTAATTCTCTGACTTGCCCCCACCTGTCTCCCTTTCCCATTTTTTTAGTACTTTTGTGATAACATTGTGTTCACGTGGGTAAATTGGCATACTGTCCCCATCTCAATAACTCTAACTTATTTACATCTACAGAGTCCTCTTTGCCATGCAAAATGACATAGTCATAGGTTTCAGGGTACAACATGGACATCTTTTGGCACCATCATTCTCCCTGCTGCCCCATCCTAAATGAAGAAAGCAGTGCCCCCCTATTGTCCAGCTCAGCCATCGCTTCCTTAACCTCATGGTACTCATCACAACTTACCTATTAATATTTTAAATTTTACTTTTCAGTTTACTTGGTTTTGCCTGCTTCTAGAACTAGAACATAAGCTCTCTGCATGCAGGCAGAGAACCTGCAGAGGCTGCAGTCTCCTTCCTTTGCAGACCATGCCTGCAATCTCCTTCCTTTTATGTACCCTCAGGCAAAACTAGCTCAACTTTGTCAGTCGGGCTAGGATGTCTTGGTTGCGAATGAGAGAAATCTCACTCAAGTGGCTGAAGGGAAAAAAAGAAAGAAAATAGAAAAAAAATGGTATTAATTGTCTCATGGAAATGAAAACTCTAGGGCTGAAACTGGCTCAGGCTCTGCTAGACCCAGGTGTACAGAAAATGTCTCTAAGAATCTGTCTCTTCCCTTGTGGCTCAGTTTTTCCATTCATTGACTCAGGAACTTCCTTCCCTGTGGATGGCAAAGCCTTTAGAATGTAAAACTCTAGTGTGTCACAACCTGGAGTTGACCGTCATTGGTCCAGTTGGGGTATATTCTTGAATTGGCCTCTGGGATGATTGGCCCAATGTAAGTAATTTGCCACTGTGAGGTCCCAAAACACATGGATGGGGACTTAGGGGAGGGCTGTTCCCAATAGGAAATCAGAGTGTTTATTCAGGCTCAGTGATGGCTGAGGAATAGCTGTGCCTTAAAGTCTCACTTAGCCCTCCTCCCACCTAGAAGCCTGGTTGGTTACTCTGATTTCTTCTGTCTTTCTGGAGGTTTACATCATTACACAAATCAACACATGGTTATACAATAAGGGTCCCTTTTTAGTACATAAAGAAATCCTTTGCTTTGCACCTTGGTTGTGTTAGGGAAGGGAGTGGATGTCTGTGGTGTGCTGGACATCTCCATCTTCTCAGTTCGTCACTGCCACTGTCTGTGAGGGGGTTGCAGCTTCCTTCCCATTGTATAAAATAATAGCTACCATTTCCTAAGTGCCAGGAGGTGCACTATAGTCTTAGACTATCACCTTTCTTATTCCTCGAAATGATCCTAAGGGTGATTCAGTATCTCCTGGCTGGTCAGTGGCAGATCCAGAGATTAAACCCAGGTTGAACTGAACCCCAAACAGAAGTTTCTAGAACAAATGTCAGAAATGTGTTAGCTAAGGCCTGTTACATCTATAGAGTATTTCTGCCTTTTGGGGGGATCCCAATTATTTTTCCCTCCAACTGTGAAGAACTAGAGATTTTTATTGCTGTTTTTCTAAAAAGTGACATTGGTAATCACTTTGGCAGAAATTTTACAGGAATGGCAAGCTTTTCTTTTTCATTTATGCTTTAGCTTAGTCTTTTCCATTATCCATTCGGCTTCTTGAGCCCTACCATCTGTACCCCACACGTATTCTTATTCACCCAGAACAGGTGTGTGGCACCTTGGAGAAGATGAAGTCAGAGAGAAAATCAGTCAGACAGGAATTATGTTGAAAGATGACTGAATAAATTACTGCCTCACAGGAGCTGTATGAAAAACGGCTATTTCTTTAGGATGTCAAAGCACCTTTTTCCTCCCTCCTGGATGTGTATCCCTATCCAAAGACCCACAGTAACAAGGAATCAGTTTCTAGACAGTGTGGGGCCTCTGAGGATGTGATGCCCTTGTCGTAAGGAAGCATGATGGGTGATCACCCCTTCATCTGCAGCCAGCCTGCTCCCCTGCATTCACTGCTTCGGGGAAGAATTTTTGTCATAGTTCTTCTTGTGGATGGCTATGGGATAAACAGTTGCTAGTCACTCAGTGGTCTCGCTAATGAGAGACCCAGTATTCAAATGGACGGTGACCAGACCAAATTTGGACATAGAACTCTGAGCCATAATGTCTTCAACAACCAGCCTGGGAAATCAAACTGCAACCTCTGGAGCAATTGCCCAGAATGGTCAGGACTTGGTCAGTAAGCCCAGCTTCTCCAACCTTTGTCCTCATTTCCCACCCAGGACCAACCAGAGAAAGGCTAGTGTGCTCTAAGGCTGGGCATATAGGATGACTGTTCCTATTTAGCCGACCACAAGCCTCTCCTTGCCCACGGCCTCCAACTGGAATTGCTGGAAGTCTTCTCTTCTCTCCACTGTGAAGCTTATCCTTTCCTGGCCTGCCTCTTAGTCTCTGCCAAACACAGCTGATGGTGACTGAGTGCTTGACTATAGTAAGCTCTGAATAAATGGCTTCATTTGTCCTCATTTGGGTGGCTTGTGTTTATTTCTACACCAGCTTTGCAAGGTTCACTTTTTCCCACACGACTCTTTCCCTGCATATCAACACATCCCATGACCTGGATCTTTCCCACCTCTGCTCACTTTTGACCTCCATTAAAATTACCTGTTATGTTGTTGACATGATTACTATATGTGTTGAATGTCTACAATGTGCCTGGCTAGTAGGACTGACTAAAGAATATAAGGAAGGGACAAAAGCAGGAAGAATGAACCCAGATTAAGAAAAAATAAAAGGGTGTTTGGCTAACTTACATAAAAAGGATCTCATTTTCCTTTTTAATACATTCCTACATACAGTCGCCATAGTGTTTCTCTAATTTCTTCAGAACATACTTTGAAGATGTAAAGTATGTGTACCTCCTTAGCATTCTTTTTGTCTTTCAGAAGAGCAGATTCATCTCTGTAAAAATGCAGATAATTTCCCTCTTAAATTCCATCAGATGGAGACACCACCCATGTGCCAAATGAATACAGATTAGGGTTTGTCACCTGTGTGAAATTGGCATCCTGCTGCCCTCCTTTCTGCTGTGATGTCAGCCTGTTCATGAAAGGCTTGGTTTCTGTCCTGTGACTCAGCCCAAACCTAAAAGCCTGGTTTGTCTGAATCCGGGACATCCGTGTGCAAATGCATTTTCCATGTATAGATTGTTCACTCTGGTCTTTGAGATTGTGTAATTAGCATATGTTGTCATAGTGATGTATTTATTATAATGGAGGTGCTCTCAGGAAATCAGATTTAATAGTTTTAAATCAGAGGCCAACATGGACTTTTAGGAATCCCATTCACAGTAAATTTCATGCATGGTGAAAGGTTATGGAATGGGTTTCCATGCCACGTCTCTCCTGTCCCACAAATCTCTTCTGGCCTACAAAGGTTCCACTGTGGATTTCTGCCAGCCAACCAGACGGATGTAGACAGAAAATTTTAGAGTTTATATTATCACTCGCATGGCATATCTTCTACTGAAAGTGGAGCGGGGAAAAGGTGGCTTGGCTGTTGGGTTTATATCCTAACTTTGTAGTGATGCCTTAATGGAGGGACTCATAAGCCTAAGACTGACAGGCATTTGGCTTTTCTTGTGTTCAATTGATAGCCTCTTGACTGCCGAAACCATTGCCCATCTGTTCAGCTGTTGTGTTCATGAGAAAGTTGGACCCCCAACCCCAGGCCCAGGTACCTGGCATCCCTCAGTTGGTATCAAGAGCTTGCAAAATTTTCTTACATTGTAAACACCAAAGTAGCACCATTGTACACTGTCTTTACTTAATCTGCCCTATTTTGGGTGTGTGTATCCCCAGCATGCTTAAACAGGAGAGGCAAATGAGTGAGTGAGTGAGAGAGAGACAGAGAGAGAGAGAGAACCCTGAGGTGCTGGAAGGCTGTGGTTTCTTTGTGTCTACAGAAAAGATATAACGATTGAATTAGACTCTTAAATATCTATGGATGTCAGGTTGAATCCAGGCAGCTATTCAGTGTTTTACTCTGGCAGGAGAACAAGTCCCCCGGAGGTGAGAATCCATGCAGATCCCTGAAAGTGTGAGCAGATTGTTCAAATGGTATCAAAGATGGACTGGAATGATGCCAGCCTCTGTCCTTGGTGCTCACCCAAGCTCTCGGGCTAAACTCTTGTCTCTACCTGTTCCGTGCTTAACAGTTCCCTCTTTTTACCAAGAATCTCAGTGCTATTACTTCCAGAGAGCCAGCTCACATCCGCAGGCCATGTCCCTGCCTCCTTTTCTCCTATAATGCAGGTGTTAAGCATTGGCACAGAGCTGAGGAATATCGTTGCAGCATCCTGAATCCCTGCACAAGTACCTCTTCTGTAGCACAGGAGCTTATGCTTTGGAATCAGGGACAGCTGAGTATGAATCTGGGTTCTACTAGATTGGCTGGACTTACGCCTTACTCTTTCCTACCCTTAGTTTTGTCATCTGTAGAATGGGGAGTGTTGTTATCTATTACCACATGGAGTTAGAAATAGTATAAAATGGTGAGTGGAAAACCAGACACAGAGATGGTTGCTGTTATCAATTACATTATTGCAATGATTGTTTTCCAACAAGATCAGGTTGAAGAGGAACATGTTGTTGCCATTCTTGGGACTGTTTTAAAGGAAGTATCACTCTAAGGCCTCATAATAAGCCAGGTGTCTAGCAGGCAGCTTGAGAGCAAGGCAACCATTGACTTAAAACATGTTTGGAAACTTGTCCCATGAACGCCAAATATAATCCTGGACTCTACAAAGGGCCATAAAGAAAGCCATAATAAATCACTCAGACCTCTCAGCAGCTTCTGTGCCTCTCTAGTGATGCAATGCAGCCATTTCTCAACCTGTTTGGGGTTTCCCTGTGTTACCTGGACAGCTGCTGCCATCATCAGCTCCCAGCCAAGACTCCTCAGCCCGGCAGGACTTTTGGATTCATCGTGGTCAGGAATTGGGGGCTGGGGAGATGATGACAAATTTCTGCTTTTTTCAGATTCTGATGTCTTGGTGATTAAAAATAGAGTTGGTAGACTAGCAGATATTTCTATTATACCTGTATATGTTTTTATTAAACTGTGACTTTCTTAATCTTTCTTAAGTAATGACCCAAGTAAATTATTTGATTGAATCCAGGCATAGAACCTGATTTGACATTTTTTCCCCCATCAAGATTCTGGAGTTTGCACATCATTTGTTACTTTGAAAAACCAACTTTGTCTTCTTATTATTATGATGATGATCATGATGATAATGATGATGATGATGATGATGATAGTAAACATGCATGGTAGAAGAAGGGTGAGAAGAAGAAAAATTTAGAAATCTGGACAAAGGAAAATTATAATGTTCTATTAATTCTACTACCCTGAGATGATCACTCTTAATATTTTGTTGTATATTCTTCTTTTCTTTCTTCTGAGTTTTTTAAAAAAATAAATTGGGATTATAATCTATGTCTATATAAAATAAGAACCTCTTATGTCATTAAACATGGCTTAGAAAAATATTTTAATGATTTCATAAGATTGTACCCTATGAATGAATTGGATTTTATTTAACCATTCCCTATTGTTAGGATGTTTATAGTTTGGATGTTGTGTTTTTAAAAATAAGAATCCTAGCTTATTTTACTATTTATTTCCACCGTGCATGTTTTGTAAAAGTAAGTAGAGCAGTAAGCAGTAATGATGGATGACTCCCCGCTATCTGGTGATTAATCTAAACTCATCTCTGCTAACCCAGGTGTCTTGCCAGTGATTGGTTTAGAAATAGACACGTGACCCAGTCCTGACCAATGAGCATGGAGAGTGCTTCTGGGGAAGAGAGACTTTCTGCTTCCTCTGGGCATTGGCGCAGCCTGGACTTGCTGTGGCCTTCTGGGGCCGAAGCAGTGCTCTATCCTGAGATAAAGCTGAACCTGAGGGGGCCGAGGAGCAAGTGTGAGTTCATGGCAGCATTATAGAGCTGCTGGTTCAGCTGTGCCTGTAGCCATCCTACCTCTGGACTTCCAGGGGTCATAAAATAAGCTGTTTTTAATTGAGTTTGAATCACACTTACACCAGGATGCATTTCTAAACATAAAAGAGGTTGAGAAAACATAAAATCTTCACAGTGCAAGGATTTTTATAGAAAGTGAATTAGGGACTCAAAGAGGTGAAGATTTGCTCAAGGTCTTGTCCAGTTTGGGGGACCCAAACTATTGTAGAAACTTCTTTTTAAGCTTTCTCTTTACTACTTACAACTCAGCACCTTCTCTCATGCCCAGGTTGAGAGAACTCTTCAAAGGCCAGAATGAAGACACAGGATTTAGAGACAGAAAGTGAATTCACATTGGCTTTGGCCCTTTACCTGGCTGTGTGGTTTGGACGGAGCTCCCCAACTCATCTAGTTTTGAGGCTCTTTTCTGGTAAATGAGGCTAATGTACTTATCTGAGAATTATGAGGTACAAGTCCCCTTGTAACAATATGAAATTGTTTTATAATTATCATTGTCATTGGTGTGAGGTCACACTAGCAATATTTATCAAGTACCTTCTATGTACCAGGTTAGCAATATAGGAAAATATCTCTATTCTCTTGGTTTTTATATTCTAATGAAAGTGGCAAAAAATAAATAGGGAAACAGTAAACTAAGCATTTTGGAGAAGAGGTCCAAGTTCTTTTCAGATTCTGATTTCTCTATAATATAAATAGTATTTTTACATGAGCAATTACTTATTTTTCTTCCCTTATATCTACCTACTTACTTATCTACCTATCTATACCTCTCTGTCTCTCTCTCTCTCTCTATATATATATATATAAAATCACATACACAATATATAATATAAAAAAAAGTATATGTATGTTTTTGGCCTGTGAATTTCTTAACCCTTTTTAACCCGCATCCTAATTAAATTATGTGATCAGACATTGTGATAGAACTTGCTTTTACTATTGTCTCAATTTTTTGGAAACAGACCAGTGTTTCTTGAGTTCCAAGTTTCCTTGGATGTTGCAGTTTTATTTTCTGGGGGGTGTGTGTGTGTCTGTGTGCGTGTGTGTATATGTACATGTGTTTATCTTGATGATAATTTAGAAAGATAAATTAGGCATCTGTAGATCATCCATGTAATCACCATTAAAATAAGCAAATGTCTGAGTTTAAATGTCTTATTGCCACGTATTTTGGCAGAACTCTGTGGCTTTCCCGAAGCCTTCTCTAGCTGGCAGCCTTCTTCTCATCTAGCCTGAGCAGTCATCCTTATCAACCTTATTTTATAACCAAGAAAACACATACAAGCAGAGCTTTGGTAATTTGCCTTGGCCACGTGTGCCCCAGGTTGCAGGCCTGAGACTTGAACTTGGGTCTCATTTCCCACACACTCTATTCTCTGCCTCTGCTTCTCCTGGCTTCTCCAGGTGGCAGGACATGAGCATTAAATTTGATGTAATCATGAGATCCACTGGCTTATAAAATACTGCAGAGCAAAATAATAA